TTTTTTGGGGGGGGGGGGGGGGGAAGAGGTAGGGCTGTGCATTATTTGGGTCGAATGGAAAATCCGAACCGATTCATGTTATTTGGATCGGTTTCAACTATTTGGATCAGATTTCAGATTATAGATTTAAATATTTTGGATATCGGATCGAATACGATTTGGCTTAATTTAAATCCGAACCAATCCGAAATCTGAAATATAAGGCCTACATATAAAAGTGAGGGTGCCATCAAATAGGATTTTATTTCTCTTATTTCTCATTTTCTCTCACATCACTAAGTATCTCTTAGAGCTTTTAGACCTGCCTCCATCACTCCAAATCTCCGATATCGCCGCTTCATCTTTGCTCTCAAGAAGTAAGGTTTGTTGGTTTTTTTTATTTTTCATTCTCTCCATCCTTTCCATTTTAGATTATTGATTGATTCTTTTCTATTTATGGTCGATTTTTATTTTAGATTGATCTAAGATTTTGGTTTTTTATTATCTCCCTCCTTTCCATTTTAGAACTTAAATTTTTCAAAGATGCTATTTGATTAAAAATATACTGTTGCTCATCTGATTTTCTCAAAGCTTAAATATTAAGTTTTTGCATGAATTTTTGTCTGGTGTTAGATCGTGCACTTAAGCACTTTTATGGGTTCTTGTATTTCTTCACTATCCTTTTTTAACTGTCGGTACTGATTTTTTACATGAATTTTATTTTATACTTGTTTCATAGATGACAGAGCTAGAGGCAGAGAAGGGAAATGAGCTTCAAATTATCCTAAAAGGTACTGAAAGTGGTGCTTCAAATAATTCCACAACGAACACACTCCATTATGAATCTGCTTCTAAGAAAAGAAAAGGCATGAAAGAAAGATCAGTTGCTTGGGGCCATTTCGACAAGTTCACCGATGACGAAGGGATTAAAAAAGCGAGATACAAGTATTGTCAAGAAGAATATATAGCAAATACAAAAAACAGCGGTACAAGCAATTTGCTATCCCATATGATCAAGTGCCCGAACAATCCCCATAAGGTGAACACCAGCCAACAGAGACTAGCTTTTCGACCAAAAAAGGGTGGTCAAAAGGTGATGTATCAGTAATCCCATAGAAATTTGATCAAGAAGCATGTAGGAAGGCTTTAGCTCGTATGATAATTATTGATGAGCAACCCTTTATTTCTGTTGAAAAGGAGGGTTTTAGAGATTTTGTGAGAACTCTTCAACCTTTATTTCATGTTCCTTCTCGTACTACTGTGACTAGAAACTGTCTTGAGATTTATAATGAAGAGAGGCATGTTTTGAAGAGAATTTTCAAAGAATCAAAACAGAGAATTTGCATTACAACTGACACATGGACTTCAATTCAACGAATTAACTATATGTGTGTTACAGTACATTATATTGACAAGAATTGGAAATTACATTAAAAAAATATATTGAATTTTTGTCCAATTATTAGTCACAAGGGTCAAGATTTAGCTATTGGTGTTGCTAAGTGTTTGCTTGAATGGAGATTGGATAAAGTTCTTACTGTGACTGTTGATAATACAAGCTCTAACGATGTTATGGTTAAAGAATTATCCAAATAATTTACTAGATGGAATACAAATTTGATGGAAGGTAAGCATGTTCATGTGAGGTGTATGGCTCACATCATCAATCTAGTTATTCAAGATAGGTTGAAAGAAGGGAGTGTGTCTATTGAACGAATAAGACAAGCTGTCAGGTACATAAGGCAATCTCCTGCAAGATGGAAGAGGTTTAAAGAATGTTGTGATCTTGATAAAATAACATCTAAAAAATTATTATGTATGGATGTTCCAACTAGGTGGAACTCCACATATTTGATGTTGAAGGTTGCGGCAGTTTATGAGAATGCTTTTACAAAATATTGTGATATTGATTATGGATTGATGCATTGTATTTCTAATTGTATTTGTGAGGATGGGCAGCCTGCAGGTCCACTTTTTAAGTAGTGATTGGGAAAGTGTAAGACGTATTGTGAAGTTTCTTGAAATTTTTTATGAACTCACCTTGAAGGTATCGGGCACACTTTATATTACATCTAATGTACATTTTCTTGAGATATGTGTGGTAGTTTCTTCTTTGAAAGAATTGATGGGAAATGAAGATGTTGTCGTGCAAGAAATAGCAAAGAATATGAAAGAAAAAATTGACAAGTATTGGGGTGATCCTCACAAGATGAACAAGATGATATTTATTTCATGTGTGTTGGATCCACGCCACAAGTTTCACTCTCTTTCTTTAGCACTTGCTGCTATGTTTGGAGAAACAAAAGATGTGAAAATACAAGAGGAAGTGAAGACATACATGAAAACTTTGTTCAGTGAGTATGTCAAAATGAATGGTGATTCATATCCATCTTCAACTTCATCTTCATGTCCATCTTCCCCATCTCCTCCATCTTCACCATCTTCATGTTCTTCTTCATCATCATTCTCAAAATTCATGCTAGATTTAAAGAGGCATAAGAGTGGTGGAGGTATTGACTTAAAAACAGAGTTGGATAAATATTTGGGTGAAGATGTTGAGGGAGAAAAAGATAAATTTGATGTTCTGGGTTGGTGGAAGTTGAACTCACCTAGATTTTCCACTATTGTTGATATGGCACGTGATGTGCTAGCCATATCAATTTCTAGTGTTGCATCTGAATCGGCCTTTAGTACTGGAGGACGCATACTTGATCCATTTAGGAGTTCATTGACTCCTAGATTGGTTCAAGCTCTTGTGTGTGTCCAAGATTGTCTTCGTAACGAATCAACAACTCCGGTTAAAATTGAGGAAGATTTAGATAATCTTGAACAACTTGAACTTGGTAAGACTATCTTTCTTCTTTTATTCTTTGCTTTGATATATATTTGATAACTTATTTGTATGTTTATTTGGATTCTTTTTATGTTAACATATGTGTGGTTTTAAACTTTCAATAGAAATGGTCAATACTGGAAAAGAGCCTTGCATCGTCGACATATAGTATTGATGAAGATTATTAAACTATATTTTGCTGGTATAATTATTTTACTAGTTATATTTTTGTCCAGTATGTTGGTCTTTGATTTTATGTTTCAGCTTTTTCACTAAATTCTAAACATTTTCTTTGTTATTGCAGAAACAAATGGGAGTCATCTGGAATTGGGAGGGAGATGGAAGTTGGAACTCTTTAATATTTTTTTGCCTTCTTGAGTTCATCCTTTAAATAGTGGGATACCTATATCTATTTTGTTGATTTGTTGCCTTGTTGGTATTGCAGTTTATTTAGTTCTGTTGCTACAATTATTAGCTAGTATTATTCAGTTTAACCTTTTGGGTTTGTTCAGTTCTGTTGCTACAATTATCAACTAATATTATTTGGTTTAACCATTTGAATCCATATTGAATTATTGATATTGTTTATCCTTATAGAGTATGTATTTCCTTCTCGTTCTAGCTGGGTAAATCTTTATGGATCAATTGTTAGATCCCCTCTTTATAGAGTATGTTGATGGTTATGCTACACCGATCACTAAGAGATGAACTCATGGAATAAGCATCTTAATATATAAGGCTTACAATCCGAACCGTAATCCAAAATATTTATCCGATCCAAATATCAAAATCCAATCCGAACCGAATTTAATTTGGTTCGGATCCGGATTACAATTTATCAAATCTGATCGGATAGTCCAAAATATGCCAAATCGGATCCAATCCGATCTAAGAGGGAAATCAAGAGGGTCGATTTTAATGTCTAACACACTTCAAACCTTATATCAATTTTGAGGACAAAAGTGTTAAGAATAGGGTTAAAGCAAAGGTATTAGTCGGTCGGTACGGTACGTTATTTAGACATTTCGGTTTGATATTTTTGATATTCGGTTTCTTAGGATCCGTTTGGCCATAGATTTTGCCAAAATAAACTTGGGTTTTATTTGGCAAACACATGTTTGGCCGTAGATTTTGCCTACATTTTGACCAAATCACAAATCCCAAATCTCAATAGCTGGTTTTGGGCCAAAATATCACTATTATATTTTTTAGAAATTGCCCCAAACTTTTGTATTTTATAAAAGAGCTCACCATTTATTATTTTGTAACGCTGTTGCTTCGTCTTCTCGGTCATCTGATAGTGTATCATGTAGTTCATTATAACAATAATAATTTTGTATCAAATTTATTTATGTTTAGGATTATGGTTTGCGATAATATAATGAATGTTATTGATAATGGTATTGTTGGGTATTTATGATAGTTTTTAGAACTTGTAGGTGTAAGTCATGTTTCATGTTTTTCCAAACCAAACTTCACCCAAAACAGATGTCCAAACATATTTTCATCTTTAAACCAAACTTCACCCAAATCAGATTTTTTAGAATAAATTTGGGAATCTATGGCCAAACGCTAACTTAAAATGTTATACCAATATCGTACCTAATTAAATTCGGTATGGTTTGGTTTTTCTCCTTTCGGTTTATTCGGTTCGGTAACTTCGGTTTATTCGATTTGAATACTAACTAGTGCATAGAGTCATAGACTGTAATATTCTTAATTAAAGTACTCAAAAATATAAACCTAAAAATGTTTATTGATAAAAGTTTTGCCCAAAACCAGTAAATATCAATCCAAAGAGAGAAAACTCTACATAAAGAAATAAATTTGATCATTAGAAATGTCTTGTTAATTACTTAGACTTAATTGATGAACTTAGAGAATAAAAAAAAGTAAAATTTTAGATTTTATTTATTTATATTATAATTAATAATATGTATATTGTGTAATATAATATATATTTTGGTACGGTATCGGTATTTCGGTATTTTATTTTAAAATACCAAATACCATACTTAATACCAATTTTTTTAAAACTTAAACCGAATACCAAAATATCGAATACCAAATAACAAATTTTTTTATTTCGGTACGGTAATTCGGTATTTACCAAATTATGCACAGCCCTAGATTAAAGTGACATTTTTGTGATTAGTGTTTAGTAAATGAGTAGTTTTGGACCTTTCTCTTTGTTCTCTATTTGCATGCATCTTTTATATTTTCTTGTTGTTTTTTTCCCTGTGAAAAGTGTAAATGAAATATCTTTATCATGTGTTATACTATAAGGTCATTCGTACCATTGCTACAAGTAAATCATCGAGCTCCAACTTAATAACGAATGATAAAAATATCCTACTGGGTAAATGCAGTCTAAATCATGGTCTAGGGATCAATATCCAACATAGTTCACCAGAAGGCACATATTTGGAATTTCATTGATTCTTGCTATTGTGTATCATCGGTACTATGTTGCTGTATTTGAAAGCTTTCATTCACCTTTGATCATGGTAAAGGAATTCCATTTTTGTTTTTGTTTTTATTAGGCAGTATATTGTCACATATTAAACGCTGGAAAACTTTCAAAGATTTTGTTTGCAGAGTTTACAGCCATCAAACTTGAACTTCAATGGTATATCGACACTGGAGTTAGAATTCGTAGAAGCTGATTATTAGCCTCTACGGGCATCTTGTGCAGACATTTTTTCTGGAAATAAAATAAATCACATGAAAAAAAAGGAATAAAACTTCTTCTTCAACGTATAAAACTTGTCGACAGAGTTTTTGGTACCTCGATATGAACCCGACTTGTGTTGAAAGAACAACAAAATTCTTTGTTTTGAGTTTTTTTGTTTGTTTGTTTTTATCAGCAACAAAACAAGCCTGGACAACTCTTGTTTAATTCTGCAAAAAAGGTTGTAACAAAATTGAACAAGTTTTTTTTTTTAAACACAAAATGCGAAGAAATGAAAGTTTTTCAAGAAGCATCTTTTAAATAAAATTGAAGTATCTGGATATTTGGTTTTCATTTATAAGTTCAACAAAATAGAGGACTACTTTTATCTTGTTTATTCACTTCTAAAATAAATTTAAAAAGATTTACGAGATCATAAAATAAAGTAAAAATAAACAATAAAACTCTATTTTAAAGACATGTCATATATTTACACATTTGTCCTCAATCATTTTCCTTTGTAATTGACGTTAGCTACTTTTTAGTGGTTACAATTTCAAGCAATAAATAGGAGTATAATATTTCATTTTACTTATTTATTGTTTTGGCAAAAAGTAATATCAGTGGTCAGTCAGTCCACCTACTTGGTGTTAAAGAGACGCTATGGCCATTGCAGGGACAGCTCCTTATTCACCGTTTCTCGGAAATACTATTCCTTTCCACTTTGTAATCTTCTCTACTTCTGTTTTAGAAATTGACTACTTTTAAAAATGAAGTATCTTTATTCAAGCTTCAATCTTTGTAATTGTAGGGGAAATCCCCGTCCGTACAGTTTACCCACAACAATTCAGTTTGCATTTTTAAAGTCAAAGCATTGTTTTGGGGTTCTAGAAAAACTGTGCAGCCTGCTGCTGATAACGTTCTTTCACTTGGGCAATTCACTTTATCAGGTGCTGCGGATTCACAGGTAGTATTTCTTTGTTTTTTTTCCCGTTTGTAGATAAACCTGTTAGTATTAACATTATCAAGAATACAACGTACAGATATACTAGTATTTAAGTCGTGCTCCTTTTGACAGTTATGGTAGGTAATCAGCGGCGGAAATTAAAAAAAAATGTAAATTTGAAAGCACTTAATTTTAGGGGATTCAACAATTTATATATATACCGAGAAGTATGTTTTTTACCCTCTTTATATTCTGGAAGGGGAGCATTGGCTTAACTAGTAAAGTTGTTGTCATGTGACCAGGAGGTCGCGGGTTCGAGCCGTGGAAATAATAAGGCTGCGTACAATAGACCCTTGTGGTCCGGCCCTTCCCCAAACCCGCCCATAGTGGGTGCTTAGTACTCCAGGCTTCCCTTACCCTCTTTATGTTCTGGATGAAGGGGATTCAATTGAAACCCCTTCGCACTGGAAAGTTATAGTGACAGTTTCTTGTGATGTTAATTCAAATGTAATTGGGTTTCTATTTTCTTTCAGGGGGACATGGGAGCGTCTGAAAAGATATCCATTTCTGTGGTTTCCTCAATCTCAGCAGTTTCACCAGACGAGTGGGATTCCTGCAGTCTGGATTCCACAGGAACTCAACAGTTTAATCCCTTTCTGTCACATGGTTTCCTTTCGAGCTTAGAGGACTCTGGCTCTGCGGTGGAGGTTATAAACTATCACTTTGATGACTTCTGCTTAGAATCCTTTGCTTGATTGTTTATTTTGTTGCATGGTTAAAAGAAGTACACCTGCCATTATTTATCTTCTCTCGCTGTCTTTGCGTACTAGTGTTTGTTTATTTAACAGTTGATTTTGTTTGTTAGCTTACTATTATCTATTACAGTGAATGCTCCTGGTTTAGGTTGTTTATTCTCTCTTAGTATCTGCAATATTTTGGGGGTAATTATGAATATCGATTACCATTCTTTGGATATCACCAATACTATTTTTGGGACAGATTTGATGCTAACTCTTATTCAACCAAATTCTCTTGAAAGTAACAGGGCAGCTAGCTAATTAAGTATCTTTTCTATCTTCGTGATCATCAATTTAGTGCTGCCTCTGTCATTGTTATGACCTTTTTTGATGGAAGAAAAGCTTATATTCTTTCTCAGGGAACTGGCTGGATGCCACAACACATCATTGCAAAGGATGAAAATAATAATATCTTAGGTGTTGTTCCCCTCTATCTCAAAAGGTTCAACATCTGCCATGCTATTTCTGGACCATGCTTTTAATTTGTTTCCTTTATTGTATAATATCTCGACTTTTTTCTGATGACATGCTTGGCTAACTCCTTCTGATCCAAATCTGCAGCCATTCTTATGGTGAATATGTGTTCGATCATTCTTGGGCAAATGCCTACTACAATTATGGTTTGAGCTATTATCCGAAGCTGCAGTGCTCGGTACCTTTCACTCCTGTTACTGGCCCGAGGATCTTGGTCCGTAACACATCAAATAGAGATCAAGTCTTTGACATTCTGGTCTCTGCAATGAAAGATTTGGCAGTCAAGGTATGCTTTTCTTCATGTTCATCATACTTCATAATACTTTGAATTTCGTAAATACCTTTTTTACCTCGTCCATTTGTAAACTCTATCTGATTCTTTTTATTTTTATTAACTGTTGCTCATTGGGTATGGAAGATCCTGCATATTAAAGCCAATTGTTTCTGTTATCCTTATTTAACGGAAGGTGTGATTTCTATTAGTCTGACTTGATAAAGATTTGTGAGTTATAAGAATCATTGTTTGGAATGCACTATATTTCATATGCATAAAAATACTCCATTTTTCTGTATTGTGATGACATTTACCTTGACAGTTCAACGTTTCATCTCTACATATTACTTTTCCCACCGCAAATGAGTGGCACAAGCTGAAGGAGAAAGGTTTCCTGCAAAGGATTGGAATGCAGTATCATTGGAAAAATCGTAATTATAAAAGGTGAGTATGTAGATCTACTTCTTACTTGAGATAAGTTGCTCTGAGATTTAGAGGAATGGATTTCACATAGTTGTAGCTTGTAGTTTATTCTTTTTCTTCTTCTTAGTAGGCGATCTTATTTCATTTGGTCATATTACATTCTATTGAACTATAGATTCCGAATGCCTCATGTGGTGGTTGATGTGTGGAATGAAGGAGCTTGATGCTTGTGGAGATAAGCAAAGTCTTATTGGTAATTGGGTTAAATAGATTTCCTTTGGTAGTACCTCTAAAGGAAACACAATGGAAGGGGTGGCCTTGCTATCTTAGAGTTGGAGTAACAACCTTGGGAACCAAGGTTCGAATCTCCCACATGCGACACTAGGTGAATTGTTTTCATCTATCTAAATCTTGATAGGTAAGGTTACCTTGTTCCTGTGTTGGTTGGGAGGTAGAAGGTACCTAGTGGATTAGTCGAGGTATGTGCAAGCTAGCTTGGACACTACCATTAATCTCCAAAAAAGAAAAAGCCATCAAAGTAATTGAAACTGCTTCATCTGAAGAACATCAGATAGATCTTTGAATTTTGTCCGCAGTTTTATGTGTTCGGATTTACCACTACATCATGATAATGAGTTTTTGTTTCTTCTTGATTGTTATAAGTTTGTTGCATTATTCAGCTTTGATGAGTTTTTGATGGACATGAAGCAAAGTAAGAGGAAGAACATTCGTCAAGAGCGCAAGAAGGTTTGTAGAAGTAGTTGTTCCTTTTTCTTGAAAATTGCTTGGCCAGTCAATAGCTCTAGAAGATTCTCTAAAAGAGGCTGTATAAAGAAAAGAATTTGAATCTAAAATATCTAATTTAAAAATGAACGTGGTGTATAATAACAATTAGACGTGCCTTTTAGTCACACATGCCCATGCTGAAACTTGTATCATAGAGCAGTTCGTTAGAATATATTGCAGAGAACCCGTCTGTGGTACACGGAACATATAAAGTTCCCTGCTTCAGAAAACCAAATGACTGGAGCACTTTGGTCTTAAATCTAAATTATATCCAATCCTACTGGGAACATGCTTATATTGGCTCTCGTAAAATCAAGAACGAATCTATTATTGTTGTATAAACAAGGCTTTACTATTGTTTATTTAGTTGTGCTGCATCTGCAGCGTCGCTTTATTGCCATGGCTGTATGGCTTGCTGCAGTGCCATCTTTTCTTCATCCTGTGTTCTTGCTTATTTCTATCTATTACATCAAGATTTTTCTTAGAGGAGTATAATATTTCCTTTTAGTTTCATAATTAGCTATATAGTGCTTCTACCTCCTCTCGCTTCTCAATGTCTTCAAACTTGCAAAATACTGATAAGATCTTTTCTTATTTCAGGTATCGGCTCAAAATGTGACCATGAAACGCTTAAGAGGATATGAAATCAAGGTGTGTTGTTGAAGCTTTTGACTTCCCATTTAATTAGTTACTTGAGCTGGGGTGACTTTGTTGGAATAGGGTATATTTTTCTCGAGAGTCGTAACAGCAATTTGTTGTGTCTATCTTCTCTTTTAAGTATGTGGTGTTTAACTTTATTTTCTAAACATAAATAGACTAGTTGTGCAAATACTCAAAAAAGAAAAAAAAAGGATTGGTACCTTTACTAACTTTATCTGTTCATATGTTTAATGTTTTTACTTATTCTTTTTATTGGGATAAATTACCTGATTGTGATCATGTCATCTACTATTATCCTTTTCCTAAAGGTTTAAATATTGTGTGTATATCATTTATCTCTATCTTTCTGCGATGGCCTGGTGTAATCTGCTCGGCACTTTTAAATCACATTATGAACAAGTGAGGCCCTTTACAGCTGGACTCCCCTCCACCCAGCTTCCCCCCAAATTAATTATGGTTTTTTATGTGAAATGCTAATTTCTTGTTTTAAGGCACATGAACCGCCCGTCACGTGCAGCTATAATTATGTCCTTGAATAATATTGAAATTCCCATTTCATGTTTGTCTATTGTACTGGCAGGCTAGCCATTGGGACACGTTTTATAAGTTCTACAGAAATACAGCCGACAACAAGTAGGAGTTCTTTTCTTTGGACCATACATTTTTTCTCTTCATAATACTATCTTAACTAAACTTTATCAGCTAAATTATTCTACTTAGTGTACTTTACAGCTGTATTTTTGTACCTGCATTATCTAATGTGTGTTCTCTGTCTCTTTAGGTGGGGTACTGCTTATTTGACGAGAGATTTTTTTCATCAAATGGGTGCAAAGATGGATGACAATGTACTGCTTATTGTTGCTGAAGAAGGTGATGAGCTTGTAGCTGCAGCCCTTAATCTTATTGGAGGAGATACCTTGTATGGACGACTATGGGGATGTCTCCCAGGAGCCTATTATGCGAATTTGCATTTTGAAGCATGTTATTACCAGGTATTTTGAACCATCAATTAGAAAAAAGAGAAGAATGTGTCTTGCCGCGTGCAGGTGTTCTTTACTTATAACAATATTGTCCCCAGAGATAACTAGTTGTGTTTTTCATAGTGTAGAATTTCAGTTTGATTTGCAGTATTGATTGCAGAAACTCGTATGTTTCAAGAATTAGCTTGTAGAGGTTCAGAAGTAAATCAGGCTCCTCTAAGTCTTAAATGTTTCCTGCTTGAAAATTGATATCTAATTTCTCTTGATCTGCTTCTCAGGCCATAGAAGCGGCGATTGAACTTAATCTTGGCACAGTAGAGGCTGGTGCTCAAGGTGAACACAAAATTCAGAGGGGATATATGCCAGTGACTACTTACAGCTGTCACTATGTTCTAGATGAGGATTTTAAGCGAGTCTTTGATGATTTCTTGGTACGAGAATCTACTCAGGTGACTATTCTTCCCAATGAAAAGCATTTCAGATGACAGTTACCTTTTTCTCAAAGGATTTTTTTTCTCCTCAAAGGAAAATTAGAAAAGAAAAACTTATTTCGCATAATAGGTAAGAACATATTTTACGAGCAGAAGCACCTAAACGACAAGGTCACGAGGTTGTCTTGAACTTAGAAAAATGAATTTTCATAGCTTTATAAGACTTCTTTCCCCAACCGAAGATCCAGGAAGCTTGGAAGGCGCATTCTTAGTGTCAATATAATTTCCTGTCCTTTTAAGCCAATAGGTGCTACATATTCCGACCAGTTTGTAGCCTCATATTATTCTAACCGACCATCTTGGATCATCTTTCACGGAGAAGGTATCGTCCAGATAAATCTGCCAAGGTTAGATTTGAAGGACCACATAAAGAGCTCTGCTGACAGTCCCAAGGCAGTGAAGCTCTCCATCAGGATATGAGTCCGTAAATCAATTACAAAACACTACTTTATCGTGGTTGATGGGTAACAATGTAGTGGTCAATATGCGTTTCTCAGGGGAACGCCATATAATCCTGGGAATATATCAGATGAAAGAGTCTGACAACAGACCCATATGGGTACTCTTTAATGGACTCTCCCCGTCAGTCTGAACAATTTTTTTTTTGTTCCCCTCCAAAAATCCTCCAGCCGTAGCCTAGTTTAGATTGTTATACAAAAATCTCTACATAATCGGTTAAACACTATCTTGATGTGCTGATGAAATAAAGATGTTTAGTTGCTTTTCAAGATTATCTTCAAATATTTGAAGATGGAACCACTTCAATATGGCGAGTTTTCACTAATCTGTCTGCTTGCATTTTCCTACAGGTTAAACTTGTTATGAAATTATTACAGGATGATGGTCCCTTCAAGGAGAATGTATGGAGTTGATTACGTGTTTAACATTCAACGTTTATAAATCGCCAGCTGTTCCCTGTTGAAAGGTTCTCAAAAATTATATTTCACCAATCAGAGTGGCATAATCATCTTCTGAGGACAGAAAAGATCAATTCAAGCTGTTCTGCAGCATATTCACCAATATACAAAGACTAAATTTGGAGAAACTGTAAATATCTAATCAGAATGCAGTAAGAATCTTCTTAGCCATGTACAGAAAATGATCAATGTTCATCCTGTATAGAATAGTTCTTCAAAACCTTAGTCATACACGTACCATAAGTTCTACTTACTATTTATCTTGTTTAGGCGTTTAAGAGATGAATTATTACCGTATTCATTTATGAAAAGATCAGTATTAGAGAGATGACAGTGCATTTTGAGGTTAAATTGCCTAAGTATTTAACATTTTGAGTTTTTCTTTTCGTGCTCAAGTACAATTACCAATTTTAAAAGCACCACAACTTCATGTATTAAACACTTTCTTTAGTCGTATATAAATTAAAGTTTCTGGGAATATCTTTGTCTGCACCTCAAATAAAAAAGAGACCAAGAGACTAGATGATCCAGCACAGCAGGAGCAAATTGCAATCGCTCAAAACTTGGGCAAATCATAAAAAGCTATGAAAGGAGAAGAATACAATGATTTAATTATAGAACCGTGACAAAAAATCTCACTTCAAAACTTATATCCTGAAGTTTGATCAACAATGCTGGATAAAGGTGTGGAAAGTTTAAAGCTAAAGGTCAAATCTAAGGATGCAACTGCAATCTGATAGCATCAAATAAGGTTATAAATCAAAAGTATTATCCACGGCAGAATTGTTTCACCAACTTTCCCAAGCAACCTTGTCAAAATTTAAGCCCAGCTGAAGCTCAACCAACAGTAGAGATACCCACCAACCCAACAAGATTATACATGAAAATTGTCCTGAAATTCCTAAATTTGAAAGCTATGTGTAGTTAGGATCAAGCAGCAACTGGAAAACTTTTTCTTTGTTGAGAAGAGAGGCCGCTGGACCAATAGCTAAACTTTACCTAAAAATGTAAAAGCTATGTATACAAAGATCTCATGACAAAATGCGAGCACGTCAAGAGTCCAAGAAGAGAGCAGGAACCAAAACATCCGCAGCTGCCAAGAATATGAATCAAATGCCTAGGATCTAAATCCAGAACCAGGAGGTGCAGGTGGCAGCCGGCTAGGTGTTCGTCGACTTCTAGACCCTGCATCACCATTTTGGGCGCCATTCGCAGCATCAAATGCGGATCTCCAATCATCACCTGATGACTGTCCTCCAGATCTTGGGGTGCTTTCTGCAGATGTCAATATAATAGAATGTTGGTGATAAACTAAGTTTGTAGAAAGCACTTCATGTGTATTGATAAACTGGGAGAGAGAGGACGGTGGTCTACAACGTCCAATTTGCAGCAGTTGTTATTTGTTAACAAAAGGATCATAAACAATAAGTTCAAGGCTCTCTAAGTTTCAGAAATTTCTCTTATGCTGCTTATTCATTGACAAGTTTGCAAATTACTGATGCTTCAACCATTTATCTTTCACAGTATAAAAAGTCTAAAATCTAAATATTTCACTGCATTTACTTCTGCAGTTGTTATTTAAAAGCCCGCAAAATTAGAAGTCAGCTATATCAGCTTGCGGTATTGACTAAGGTTGTGTCCCAGGTTCACTAGACCTATCTTTTATTGAATTGCGGTCCCGTGGAACTAAAATTTCATCCGTCTTCTAGGGCATAATCTTAATAATATACTTCCTTAAGTTTCTACGGGCAAGTGTCAACCACTTTAATTCCGTATAACTTCAGCAAATGTCCTAGTAGGTAAATGCACTCTAAATCATGGTCTAGGCAGTGATATCCAACATAGTTCACCAGATGGCACATCATTGGAATTTCATGTTTCTTTATATTTTGCATCAGCAATACTATGTTGCCGTATTTGAGAGCAGTCATTCAACTCATATGAGCATACATATGCTAGGTCATGGTGAATTACAAATTAGATGATTTCATTTTTATTTTTATTTTTATGGAGGCCGTATATTTTACCACAGGAGTTCGTTTTGATACTTTAAGATGGCAACATTAAAATGATGGAAAACTGTAAAAGAATTGAAGATTAAGGCTTCAACTAAAAAAGCTATCAAAGGATTTGCCAAATACCAGCTCCATCACTATCTGAGTAGCTAGACACAGCAGCTGCTCGATTATCATGAACACTAAGCTGCTGAGTGACCTTAGCAAGAAAAGAGGATTGTTTCTGATAGTGCTCCCTCCTACGCTTCACATTCTGGTCTTCCAGGAGTAGCTCTTCGATCCTTGTTCTACTTTGCGCACTACAGTCAAATTTTGATACGTAGATGATAGGAGTGCAGTCAGAAGACAATTAGAAAGAAGCAAAGATGATAAACAATAAAGAAACTTTTGTTAAGACCACAAGGTTGTATGCATGACACTTTTCATATGCCAGAGATATTCTGGATTGATCAGTTTCAAGTAGAAGTAAAATTTGTGAGATTGGTTTCTTATATAAAGCATCCTCAGTATATATATTTGGTCAAAATCAGAGCTCCTAATATCCATGATTCCTCAAAAGGAAATACAGCTGCTGCTAACCTGACAGAACTGTACAACTTATTAAGCATATCCTCTCTGGCCTTTTCTACTTGGCAAAGAACAACTGCCTGAAAAACCAGTTAAAGTTAAACAGGGTATGGAGAACAAAAATGAAGGGCATAACGATGACATTAAACTGACCTTCGGTACATTAGCAGCAAGGCTGTTGAGAACAGCTTCAACATAACCACGTACTTCTTGAGCCATCCAACGGAGTTCTTCTTCTGGATCCGCAGGTTTCCTAGTCATCGTGTCCTAAATAGAAATTGATCCAAGTATTTGACATGTAACATGTTTGAAAACAGAGATTGTGGAAAGAGAAATATTCCATAAAATGCTGGCGTACAAATTAAATGATCTCAAACCAAGAAGTCAAAATTTGGAGAGATTCCTTATAGGTAAGACAAGAAGAATACTTTTGGCAGTAAAAATCAGCTGTGCAGTAAAAACATTTGAAAACATTGGTGGTAATGAAGTGAAGACGTTTTTTTCTGCTGAAGTAAATTGAAGGAACAATTATAGGCCGAATCAGCAAAAGAATTTTTATGTGAGTATAACCGTATTTTGCTACTTACAAGTGACCCCTCAGACAAATTTTGCCTCACAGGTGGACCAGAATCAGCAATAACCTGACCTCCTTTAGAACTTATGACATTTTTCAATTTGTTTATCCATTCAATCTTCTCAGCCAAACTTTCTGCCTTCAAAATAACAGCACTTTGGGCTGCAATATAGCATAATTTAGTTGTAAAAAATGTAAGAAGAAACCATATAATTCCCTTACAAAGAGTGTAGGAATGCACCACCTTTAAGAACAGTCTTGTATTGAACCCTGCTTGTTAATTTAAACAAGAGACTAGGTCCTTTTCCTCCATCAGGCCCATTTGCCTTTTTGTCTTTCAAACTTTTCGATGATCCTTCATCTTCTTCAGAAACCTCTTCAAGATTACATTCCTGAAAGTTTTGGATAGCATGTTACACGATAAACTAAAGGCACAACATATCCACAAGATGAATGTAATAGAAATGTTAATATTAAGATGGATATGCAGCCAGTCCCTCGTACAAGATTGGACAAGATTACAAATTATCATATTCAACTGAACACAAGCAGCACACACAGAAGATGAAGTTTTTGGCCATTTCCCACATAAATCTCCATATGAGTAGGTCCATAGGTGCAACATTATGATAATTGAAGGTGCTAAGGGAATGGGGAAATTGTTTCAGACAACCTACAATCTTTCAAAATGGTTTTAGCTAAGAACAGATACAGTGGAAGCAAAAAGATCATACAAGTGATACCATCTACTTGGAATGAAGGCTTAATTGTTGTTAATGAGGATAAGTGTGAGATTTAGAAAACTCCTAGCTTTAGAGAACCTCTAATTTTCCTTAAAAGACAGGTTATTTAGTATTGGAATAAAATGAGGTCAAATAGAGCGAAATGAATACAGAAGATTCATATAACCATCCCCTACTAATTTTGTATTGAGGTAAAGTTATTGGTTGATGTTACTTGATAAGCTCCGCAAACTCGGTACACCAATTTATATTTCTTCATGAAATTTGACAACAACAATCAGAACCGAAGCCAAATACAGGTATAGCTTCTCTAATAGACCCAAAACCCTTGTAAAAATGCAGCCATCCACTGTAAGTTTTTAAGGAATACCAATAGATAGAATGCAATATCTAGCATGAAGAAATACTGATTTGGGTCATTTTATGGTCTTTCAATTTAACCTGTTCATGCACAATTAAATCGTCTCTTCTCTGCTCCCCATGTCCCAGAGTGAAAGGTCACGAAATGTGGTGACCAGTGCATCATGTTCAGAATTCTCGGTGAATATGTACCAAGAATTACTTCTGTGAAATATCCTTCCCAACCAGAATTGAATTTTGCTTCAAGTATTTCCACTATCCTAAGGAATCGAAAAATCAAAATAATAATGAGATGTTTATTGGGCATTTCTCCCTTAACTATGCTTAAAGCAGTTTTGAAAATTGTTGCAACACTGTGGCAGGTAATTAGATAGAAACGCATTCAACTACTGGTACCCTAGGAATCAAAGAACATAAACCACATAGATATACATGAAACTACATTTGCCAAGTGAGATCATAGATTCATAGGTGACCCATCAAAGAACACACCGCATCAGCAATGACTACTACACCCCCATGTCATGTCAATAAGGACCATATGACCTGTATGGATATACTTTATTGACTGCTAAAACTCGCACATGAATTGTCTTTTAGCCCTTGTCGAAGATCTAAAATAACAAAATAAAATTGTTTCTTTGCTAATAGTTTAAACTTTTACAACAGGTGGTCGTATACGTCAATAAAATATCTTTACATGCTTGCACCAAGACCCCCACGTGAGGAGCACGATGTATATAAAAAATAAGTAGTATATAAAAGTGTTCACTCTCGAACAACTTAAGCTGTTAGGTGGCCACACAGTTCATTAACTCTCTTTCATTTGACCTTTTATTATTTTTTCCTTTACCACCCAACCCACCTCTCTAACTAATATATAAGGGAAAAAAGAAAAGCAAATCAATCACACTTTTAGCTATAGTTCCGTAAAGACTTGCTAATTCTACCTGGAGCGCCGAGATATTTAAATCACCTAGGGGACTTCGGAAGGGTCATACTAGATTGAGAGATTTTTGTCTTGCTGATAGTAAATTAACTAAGTTGAGACTCCATACAAACTAAGGAA